AACAAGAAGACGCGCTAACTGTAATTTGTGTCATCTTAAAAATTCACTCTGACACACTTTCACTGTGGGAAAATTCCTACACTATTATTGAAGTGTATATTATTCGGAATTTTAAATGTAGGGGACATGATTATATTATTTTCATTGCAATCTACAATGCAGACACAAAAAATAGAAATTATTGAAACTATTTTTTGTCAAATAATTAAATATTCTTTATGAATAAATAATTAAAATTAATTAACAATTAATAACAATAAATTTTTAACTTCATGGAAGTATATGAGAATAAATTTATAGGAAGATGAATAACAAAGTTCGCTTACGGTAAAGGGATTGAGAGCATTTAGTAGCGGAAAGTTTAACTATCGTTTCATATTGAATGGGCAAATTTTTGACGGAACTTGCAATTTCCTAATAGCTTCATTAAGGAAACCAGAATGTATTGACCGGAACAATGTGCTGCGAACAATGGCATCGCTTGCAATAATTCTTTACTCAGGCCTGTGTAGTTCCTCGCTTTCCGTGAGGATCCATTGGAAAATGAATCTTAAAGTGGACAAAAGAGAAGCCATTAAAATAAGATAGTTATGTGTAGTAGAGTAAATATCATTTAAGAATATGTACCGTTTTTCGGCATTTTCAATGTCCTACAAAAAAGATGTTTGAAATAATAGCTAATCCGCATTGACTTGGTTTCAAACTCTAATAAAAAGAATTAAAAACATTTTTTCTTTAATAAAAAATCAAAGTTAACTTAGTGTTTAAAAATACAGTTTGAATCTGTTGATCCACGACACACTATTAAATCCTGCAACTTTGGATGTTTCTAACGACTTGACGAACAGTGATATTTTAAAGTTTTGGATTATTCAAATTGTAATTTATTAACTTTTTTAGGTATTTTGTTCAAAAGTATTTATACAAAATGCGTCGATCTTATTATTTAGTCCGATACAATCAACCGAGACCGTAGGTTAGGTATAAATAGCTGAGGAGTTGAACGAAGTGTTTAAAAATCTGTCTGGTTACGCGCATAAAACCATAATCGACTGTGCGCTTAACCACTCGAATACGCTCTACTTCTAAGAGCAGACAGCTGCGATTTTCTATTACAATTTTTTAGGCCTTAACGCGGTCTTTCTTTTCACGACTTTTGTGTATGAAATGAACGATGTGAGATCATAGGATTCACATGCATACTAACTTTAATAAATGTACATCTTGTAATGAAAATTTATGCACGACTTCAATTTAATCATTCTTACAGGACACGTATCAACATATTTGATTATTTCATATACAATACAACACTTTACTGAATCTGATTAGATTCAGATTATTATAATAGAAAGACATATTGCATTTACATAGAAGAGTCATTTTAAGTCACCGATATTTTTTCCAGATAATATGTAATTTAAAAAATTCACTTATGACTCGATGATAATTTTAGATATTGAACAAACAAGGGGATTCTGTGACTACATGGAGATGGCATATGAACTCATTTTGTATGTTACAAATACTCGATATGTTATCTGTTCTATTTCTTCCAACGTGTTAGACATTTAACCTGTAATTAAGTGATTGCTTGTGTCTTCCAGAATGAATGGTTTCAGTTGATAACTGGCTTATGTTTTACATTTGCACTTTTATTTGAGTCGTTTACAAGTTAGAGTATTAAAGGTTTTCAAATTTTAGTGCCAAAACATTTAATTATTACCTTTTATGTCTAATTTCATTAAATGTTTCTGTTTTTCATTTTATAAAGTTAATCACTTTAGAAAATAAATGGTTCATTTACTTATTTCGTATTTATATTTCATATTTACATGTATATTTGTATGTGTATTACATGTATTATTTATATTTTATATTTACACTCGCATTTAAACTCACATTTCCAACGTTGAGAAATGATGCTAGTAATACTGCCTTTACTATTAATATTAAAGTTGGTGTTAGCAAATATTTACATTACCCCTTAAAATAATGTAACTTTATCAAAAAGAGTATACTATAAAACTTATTAGTAATACTATAAAAGAATTTATTTATGAATTTATAAATGGTGTTTTTTATGGAATTAAATTCTAGATAAGACAGTCACGTAAATGCAATATAATTTTTCATCAAAAAGTGACATCATCTTCGAGAAGAACAAGTTCCATAATTAATGTCTAGTATCTCACGGATCGCGGTAATGTAATTTTGCGCATCTTACGTCTTGGTCCGACAGTAGAGACTTTCCTATGCTTTTAAAACACATTAAAGGCACTCTTCCAGAACAAAGATTACTCAATACTCCAACGATAATTTAATCAAGTTAAAAAGTTTCCAGTCATCGTCAGAACGATATTAAAAATAATAAACAGATATAAAATAGACAAATAAATGACGCAGAGAAGAAAGACTTATTCATTAACTACGATTGCTGATATTTTATACGATCTTGCACAAATTCTGCTGTATTTCACTTTCAGTCTTCCATTATTATAAATGTGATTTTCATATTACACATGGATATATTATTTAAATATAGAAAATTGTTTATAAAATTTATAGAATTATCGAAGGCATTGTATTTTTTAGAAGAAATTGTATTCTGTAATTCATATATCCTAATGAAATTCACAATTTATAGATATTACTATTTTAATGTCAATATGAACATTTTTTAATAGACCATAGACATTCTCGAAATTATTCGCACCATTCGTAATTACTAGAAATAAATAAATTTCTAAATGATGTAACACGATTTCACAGGAATCATTGCTTGCATTATTCAAATTTAAACTCAAGACAATATTTCTTCAGTGATCCTTTTACCTCATTAATACTGAATTTAAAATTACTACAGAAATTGACATAAATTACATTGGAGCATAATAGTAAATGTTTTTATGTATAAAATATATGGTTATTGTACGTTCAGTATAAAGCAAACGGTTAAGCATTTCTCTTTCAACTTCAATTTTGATTCGATTTTAATATTACATATATTACGGTTGATGTAATAAATCCGGTTTGTATTATTAAATCCGGTTATTATTAATAATATCCACGTCTTTTGGTAAATATAAATAATAAATTGTAATAATAATAATTATCGGTGATTATTAATAATTACTTGTGTAGCATGGTACATTTAATAAAAACATTTATTTGTATTATTTTCTATTATTTATGAACAAATTTATACTACATTCTTTAACGCGATTATAAATTATTTCTTTATTTTTGTACAGAAAGAGGTTTTGACAAAATAATTTTTATTGGCAAAACTATACTACAGAAAATAGGACATTTTTATAAATTACTACAAAACGAAAATGGTATACTTATCTGGTTATAAATTACTTATTTATTTCTATAGGTAGAAGTTTTGACAAAATAACAAATCTATATGTATTCGTATTTTTCCACTCCTTTCCTTACATTTACCGTAGATAATTGTGAATTATTAATAATTACCCGTTCATATGATAAATTCCTACAAATAAATCACTTTGAGCTTTCTTTTTGGTTAGTATTAACAATAACCGATTATTATTAATATAAACCAATTAATTACTCGAACCGTAACACATAATAATTTGATGAGTAGCATTTGATGCAGTGGCATCATCGACATCCTGTCCATGTTTGGTTGCGATTCTAAGTAGTGGCGTACCTCCTCTTTGAAGTATTGTCCCTGCCGCACTTCGGTTGTTTCTGGAAGTATTGACAATGTCTTGATAACACAATCAAACCTTGTTCCATCAGGAGAAACCGGTCCTCGCGTGTTCCATTACCGCGAGGTTAATCGTGTTAGCGCGTGCCGCATCTGTTGCATCCTGTTTAGTACATATTAACGTACTTGTGGATGTACAAGACAGAATACATCTAATGCGTCCATTTTTTATCTATCATTAGATATATTTAATTGCGACATCCATTTAATGAGTTACTTCTTAGCGAACGCTTTAAAATGACATTTGCTTAATCTTTGTGCATTACTTATTATAGTGTTATAAACTATTACAGAATTTTAAAAGACAATGAATTTAAAGTAAGAAGTATATTTTATAATCGAAATAGATTTCATCATTTTCATTACAAATTTCTCATTGTGTTTCTTTTACATTGGAAATTGTTTCTTTGGGAATCAACAACTTCTTCAGTTCGGTAAACTTATTTGTTATCCGTTGTTGAGCGTCGCAGTTAGTTACGGCGAATGCTCTAGCTCAGTTTCAGATTAGTGATGCTAAGCCTGAATGAAAACGATGAGATTTTAGATGAGTTGTAAGTGGATCGATGTTGATACGTTGAGTTGTGGAATTCTTCGTTACAGATTCCGTTGATTCGTGTTGTTTGTGGAACTCTTCGGTAGATATTCCGTCGATGCGTTGTGTTTGTGGAACTCTTGGTTAGAGATTCTGTCGATGCGTTGTCTTGGTGGAACTCCTGGTTAGAGATTCCGTCGATGCGTTGTGTTGGTGGAACTCCTGGTTAGAGATTCCGTCGATGTGTTTTAGGAGTGGAACTTTTAGTTAGAAATTCCGTGGAACTCTTGATTAGAAATTCGGCGTTTTGTGTTAAGTTCTACCCTTAAATAGGTTGCTGTAAGGGTAGCGTCGGGGTATGAGACATGCGGATTGGTTGTCTCCTAGAGTTCTAAGTTTTAGACAGGGAGGAGGCCGTTTTTCCTGATTGGTAACTGTCACCGGAAAGTTGACCGACTTCGAGTCCATCGGTCACCTGCAGGTATCGAGAGTACCTTCGCGTGACGTCATGGAAAAAATTGTTATATGTTAGGCCTTGACTTACTCTACTTACACACAAAGTTTCAGAATTTTTTCAATTTCCGGGTTCGGTACTTTTCACTGTGAGTAAAAAAAAACTTAATGAACACAGGTCACAATCTCAACCGATTCCGAAATATAAATAGTTACGTAATGTAATGTAATTATATAATCACATGATTAATATAATATTATGTAATGTTATTATAGGTACCCACAAATGGTGCTTCAAACAGTCCGATATATGTTTATACCAGTGAGAGGTATACTACTGCACGCATAGAAGTTGTACCCAGCCCGTCGCAGATTTTAAAAGAATAGCATAGAAATTTTTAATTTCAGTATCTTAAAAGAATTCATTCAAAAGGGAGTTCCATTTTTTGCACATGCAAAATTTTCCACAGAAATTAAAATGCTCTTTTGCATATGCAAAATATAGTCGTGAGAATTTAAATACAAATTGATTTAAAAAGATTTGCATATGCAAAAAATGAAATACGCCCTAAGAGCTATGAAGATAGCCTGAGAAAATTTTATCTTGAATTTGAACGAAAATTTCAAGATTTCAGTGCCACTGAAAAAGGCTGATATTTTCAGCGTGTATTTTAATGTGAGCTATGAAGAGAGACCGGACTTGTAGCTTGAATTAATCGAATTGCAGTCTAACAATCATCTCAAACAGTTGTTTCTCAATTTCCCAAAATTAGACTTTTTCGAGTCTTTGCCGAAATCAAGTTTCCCAAATCTGATATCTCACGCCCAGAAAGTTAGTGCTATGTTTGTTTTATCCTGTATATATAGTGTGTCTCGCGAACTCTATTCACTTAAGTATCTTGGTTATTTTAAACAACACGAGGAAATGTCACTTACAGAAGTTGTAGAATTCAAGAAACTACAGAATATGGTATAAATGTTATTCATGCAGGTGGAGACGTAGAAAAAATATAGCGGCCACCTTTATTTTTTAAATGGAATGTCCAATTTTTTATGCTCGATTTTGATAGATTGATGTGTTCTGAGTATAAACGTACCAAGTACGTTTGTCCTAAAACTGAGCGTTGCTGAGATATTTGACTTTGTTCGTTTTATTACTTTCATTATGAAACCCATTTGAGGATATGTTCAGTACATCAAATGTAAACAAACAGCGAATAGGAAATGTCATGAAATAGCATTGTTAGACTTTCGAGGTCTCTCAGTATAAATACGTTTCTCAGTTAATAAACATAAAAAACTCAATATGAAATTTTCTTTCGAAGAACAATTAAAGATGGTTCTAATTTGTGGAGAAAATTAAACAAATGCAATTGTGACTTGAAACTTGTACGGTGAAAGATATTTAAATCGCATACGCTCTTCACACAAGATTTTTAAAAGATTGTGTAAAAAATTAAAAGAAACTGAACGTCTCGCTGTTCGTAACACGAATCGTAGAAAGCCTGTATTTAATGGAGATAAAATTAATGCTGTTGCAATGGCAATTATATCATAATCTTCATATCAGATTAAGTCAGATTGAGCATGGATCTGAATTCAGCAAAAGTAGTCCATTAGGAATTCTCGCTCGTCAACAATATCGTTGCCACATTAGCCTTCACCAAGAATTACATGACATGGATTATGTAATTAGTGTTACAGATAATTACAGTTATAGATTTTGTGGATGGGCTCAAGCGCAGCTACAAATCAATCCAAATTTTTTCCCCTTAATACTATTTACTGATGAAGATACCTTTACCAGCACTGGGCCCGTTAATTTACGTAACACGCATTATTAATCAATGCAAAATATTCACTGGCTAGGAGAAAGTGACCATCAAAGTGGAATCATAGAGCGACAAATTAACGTACCATTAAGCATTCGTCAGACAATGTGGTATCAGCACGATAGGTGTCCAACACACTGCACTCGAGAGGTGAGAAGTATATTTAATGAAATATTTCCAAGATCATGTATAGGATGTGGATGTACTATTTCCTGATCAACACGAAGTCCAGGTTTAACACCCCTAGATCTTTTCTTGTGAAGATCATTGAAAAATATTATATATCGAGATGCAAGAACTCCTGAAGATATGAAGCAACGAGTTACTGCAGCATGTGCTACAATAGATGCTCCGACAGTAAGACATACAAGGAACGCAGCAATTCAAAAACTACAACGTTACATCGCTGCAGATGGTCGACATTCCGAACATGCTTCATGAAGAATGTCAAGTATCTCAGCAACGCTACGTTTTAAGGCAAATGCGCTTTAGTACTTTTATACTCAGAATATATCAATCCGTCGAAGTCAAGCGTAAAAAATTGGAAATTCCATTAAAAAAAATAAATGTAACCGTAACTGTAAGAATAACATTTATATCATATTATGCAGTTTCTTGAATCCTACAACTTTTGTAAGTAGCATTTTCCGGCATTGTTTGCAGTAACCAAGATGTTTAAATGAACAGAGTTCGTGAGATACATTGTATCTGAACAAGTGTTTTCTCCAATGAATCTTTGAAAGAGCTGTATTAAAAACAGGCTGACAGTTGAGCATTTAAATTCACTTCTCAGAATCTGCACATCTCAGTTCGGACCAAATTATGAGGAACTTTTAAAAATGCAGTCACAGCTTTATTCATCGCATTAGTATTAAAGAATTTTTAAAATAATATTTTTTGAGTTCTTATTGAGTTTTATAATAAATTATGTTGAGCCGTTCATACGAGCCGCGGCAATAAGCACGCGCTGAACAAACGAACATCATCTTAGACGCGTCCACTCCCGCTTATTTTTCTTTTGTTTATACTTCACTTGTTTTCCACGCGTTCCCTTTCGTTATTGTGTGTGTTGTCGCATGGTCGATCTAACGGGCATTGAAGTTTATCTCCTCATCAAATTATATGGACCAACAAAAGTTTTTCCTTATTTTGGGGTCGCTCCTAAAAAAGTTTGTCTATCACTGGTTTAAACAATCACGTATTTAGACCTTGAATATTTATGAAAAAATTCGACGGAGACCTGGAATTTCCAAAAGAATACGGTACACTGTGAGAAGATGCGAAAGTTGTATAGAAATAGGAAAATAATGTACGGAATACCTTCTATAGATATCAAGAAAATGATATAGTAAGTTGCTTATGACTCGTATGAAGTTAAAAATCATTATTACAATACTATCCGCTGAATAATATTTTAGAATTAAGTACATGCAGTTTCAAACTTCATATTATCTGGAAATTTTTAAGTATTCACACATTGATCGACACGGTGGTCCGAATTACTTGATAACAATTATAAGAACAAACTGATGTCGAATTAAAATGCTTAGTAACATGAGTAAATAAATAATAGTATAACTTAAGAATTATGATACCAAATTATTAGTAACTAATTCTAATACCATTTGCCTCTGTTATAATACGATAAGTAACGTTATATGAAACGCTCTAAATTCTCGTGGCGGTGTACGTGTTAAAAATACTGTGGATGGTAAAAAATGTTTATATCTTGGAAACTATTGAGATTTCGGCCCATGTTCATTAAGATTCTTTTACTCGATTTAGCGTATGTCCTGTGTGGATATCCCGAAACAAATCGAATAGACATAAGAATATTGAACATATTTGCTACGTTGTTATAGAAATGAGCATATTGAACATCCATATTCCTTCATATATCTTCCTTGCACTTAATCCAATGCATCTTCAATTGTTTCGAACCGTTGTTTGCCGCCAGCACATGTTAGAATTGAAGCAAATGCTATGAATTTGTGGTTAGTCTAGAATACGTAATAAAGTTCAAGTCGGAATCTCTAATGTGTCCAAAGTATTTAATGTACTTTAGATTATTATATTGTATTTTGTCAACTTCGGTAAGAAGGCAAGTGTGAACGTGGTGTGAAGATTGACAGTGTGAACGTAGTGTGAACGTAGTGTGAACGTAATGTGAAGGTGTGCAAGTATGAACATAGAGTGAAGATAACCGATGACCACAACGTGCCGCATCGACGTTCGAAAACGGCAAGTTCGAAGAGGAAGTATTGGAAAGGGAAATTGTGAGAAAGGTCTGGAATGTAGAAGAATGTCCGAGAAGGTTCGGTGAAGATCAGTTTCCAGTTCAGAAGTGTTAAATGATCGAGTGGTACGTCCGTGGCATCAGTCAATTATGGAATGCCGATGTAGCCCCGTCGTTAAACTAAAACCTTTACACTTTGAAATTCTTAGAAACGAGACTCTTCGACCAAATCGAGAGAGGTGAATAGGGTCACGATTTTCCCTCATAAATATCATGATTATTTATATATATACACGTAGAGAAAAGTGAGAAGTCCAAAATTCTGAGGCGAACTGGATATTTCTCACTTTTCAGTCTTTTGCTTACAAAACGAAAGTTTTTAAGTTTTTAAACAATTTTTTTATTGGTGTTGACACTGAATATGCATTAATTACAAATTTCTAAAAAAAATGTCATTCTATGTTTTAACTATTAGTTTTTCACTGTTAAATCTGAACTGACCCGATTCGCCTCTACTTACCATACAAATATTACAATGTTTCTGAACACTCTGTGTACATATAAAGTTCAACAAACTTCTTTTAGATTATCTTTATTAACGTTAAAAATTGATATTTTAAAACTATTTTCTTTCCTGACAAAAAGTAATACAGTTTGGTATCTGTTAGTCGATATTTCGCGCCCGGGAAGGGCGTGGGTTGGCAAAGGTATCGCCACTTCTTCGCCCACGGTTTTACTTTATAATTGTCAAAATTCCTTGCAGTCCGAATGCAGTGATTTTTTAATAAGAAAAACATGTATGAAATAATAAGTAAAACGGTTATGGCCTCAAGTTTCATTTTTTCAAAGTCCAACAATATTTTAGAAAACAAAAATGAAATTTAATCGGTATCACTATCGTTTTTGTAATTCAAAACGATCAACCTTTACTTTCTCATTGTATTGGATTATTCCATAAATAATTTATTTATATTTCTTTTATTTTTAAAAATAAAGGTAAACAAAACTTTTTCCAAAATAATTATAAATTACAGATAGACAATTAATAGATAATGGAGGAGAATAAGTGTTAGATTAAAAACAGATTTGTTTGTCTTTATTTTCAAAAATAAAAGAAATATAAAAAACCGTATTATTTATGGGATGATTCAATAAATTGTTGTACTCTGTAAACTTCTCCTTGTTGTATAACGTTTATTATACTAAATATATTTACATCAATGATGCAACCTTAACAGAATTTCGGTAGTCTGGATAAAACGTATATCGTTCGAGTTCGTGATGTGGCTAGATGCTCGTTCGAAGACAGTAAAATCTGA